CTGCCCGTGCCGGCCCCGGCGCTAGGGCCGGGCAGGCCGGCCTGGGCACTTGGGCCCCGGGTGAAGCTAGGCAGTGGGCGGGAGCCCCCATCCCAGTTCCCAGCCTGGGGTCAGGTTGGAGAGGCCCGCGGGGCAGCGAGCCCCTGCCTCGGACGCCCTGGCCCACCTTCCCCTCCCTCTGAGGTCACACACCCTGGCGAGGCCCTGACTCACCGTCTCCCTGCCGGCCGCCGGGGCGGGTCTGAAGCACATTCGCCGCTGCCCGGCCCTGCCACTCCCACCCCCATCCTATGTGGTCTTGGGCAAGTCACTTCCCCTTCCCCAGCCCTGGTTTTCTTATCTGGTGAACAGGCTTAAAAGTAGCCCTCTGGGAGGCATGGGCCGGTTGGTGTGGGCTGGCCGGCGGCTGCTCCAGGCCCTGGGGCCTGTTTTCTGACCAGCTGCTGGCTGGTAGACCAGCCCATGCTTCCAAAGTCCTTAGGGGCTGAGGCAGCTGTAGAGACTCAAGGGTGAAGTGGGCCGTACCCAGAGAGGAGGCCGGTGGGGAGCAGAGGGGAGAGATGGCCGAGATGGCCAAACCCTGGCCTTGATACAGGAGACCCAACCTGGACCTGCAAGGGGGTCAGGTGGGGGGACCCAGGTTTTGGCTGAAGTCGGGTGGAGCCGGAGCTAAGGAGCAGGCAAGCTCTTCTACATTTACCCACATGGGCACACACCTTTCCTTTCACTCCTCTGCCAGCAGCCATCCTCACTGTCCACACCTGGGGACTCAGAGTCCTCCCTGGACTGGAAGACTCTGAGTCACCACTCAGGAATGTGACTGCAGGGGGAAGGGGACGTTCCCAAGGGCACTGAAGGCCCATGCTGCCGGCCCCAGGCCCCCTGCCATGGGCTGGGCCACTGAGGAGGGCATTCAAATAGGGGAATAAATGAATGAATGGACAACACTGCCTGGCCTGTGTGAGGAGTGAGGGTCTTGCGGGTGGGGTTTGGACTTAGCACAATGGCTGTGTGGTGGTGGCAGCTGGGGGCACAGGCAGGGCCTTGGAGGAGACGGAGGTGGGGTCTGCTTGGCAGGGCCTGGAATGCTAAGCAAAGGCATTTTGAGCTGCACTGACACAAGCTGAGCACTGGGGTGTCACTTATGGCAGGTCATTTCTGTCCTGGCCCCTCGGGAGCTTAGAATTCAGCAGGGAGGCAGCTCTTAGGCCCGCAGTCGTCCTTGTAACTAGATGGCCTTCGCACCCCTTTTGTCGTGACTGGTCTTATAGTGTATGTATTTTATGGGTAAGGAAATCGAGGCATTGAGTGGGGAAATGACTTGTCCAGAGTCACACAGGCAGTGGATGTGGCTCTCTTGCTCCCCAAAGGTGTCCAGGTGGGGGCCACAAAGCAGGGGTGCCCCATCCCAGACCAACCTCACCACTTCTTACTTCCAGGGGGGCTACTTCCCAGAGAATGTCAAGGCCATGACCAGTCTGCGATGGTTGAAGTTGAACCGCACTGGCCTCTGCTACCTGCCAGAGGAGTTGGCAGCCCTGCAGAAGCTGGTAAGGAGCGTTCTGAGCGTCAGCTGGGCCAGAGCCTGCTGCTGGAAGGGAGTGAGCATCTTGCCCAGGAAGTGTGCAAGGAAGGCAGGGTCTGTGCGGGAGGGAGGCTGAAGAGGTCAGCTTGGCCTGTGTGGCCAAGGGCCCTTCCAGGTGCTGCCGAGTCACGGCAGGTGGGGACTTGGTAGACACCTCACCCACCCTGCTGACCCTCTCCTCCTGCATCTTGCCTGGCCCAGGAGCACTTGTCTGTGAGCCACAACAACCTGACCACACTCCATGGGGAGCTGTCCAGCTTGCCATCGCTGCGGGTGAGTGCTGCCGGAAGCTTGGGGGTGGGCGGAGAATCCAGCCAGGGGCATGAGCTCAGGCTGGGCCAGCACATGTGCCTATCACCCGTGACAGACTCACACGTTCCAGGAGGGAGAGGGTGCAGTAATACCTGTGTGAAGTAATCCATGGGGAGAAAGATAAGAAATGCCACCCACTTTGCACAGTAACTATGATAATAAAGTGATGCCAAATATTCAAGACTGGTTCATACAGTGCTGAGCTCCAACAGGTACATAGATGGGGTCACTTGACCACAGCTGCAGCTCATTTGCCCATGGGCCTAGAGCCAGGCAGTGGCAGAGCTGGTGTGGTCTGGCCAGGGAGAGGAAGTGGTCAGGGTGGTTCTCTCGCCTTTCTGCTCTCCATGCACCCCTGACATCCCCAAACACCGGTCCCCATCCAGACCCTCAGGTTGTAGGGTGACAGAAGTCCAAGGCTGCAGCCCCGAGACGTTGAGGCCCCAGCCTCTGGAGACAGGCTGCCTGAGTTCTGGCCACTTCCTGCTGGCGTGACCATCCACTTCCTAGGGAGGGTTCACAGGCAGCCACTGGGCAGCAGTGCTGTGGGTCCACACAGACATCGGGGTTGGAGGCAGGTTGGTAGCAGCCTTATTGTCACTTGCAATCAAGGCACCATTCTCTGGCCTGTCCTTTGTCCCCTCGAACTTTCTGGATATCTATAGCACGAGGTTTCAGTTCTAAAGGCAGAGAGAACAGACTTGCTCTCAGTCTACACTGGTTTCCCTCTCTTCCTAACCCAGAGCTATACCCCTGTCTTGCCATTTGGAATTAGGAAGAAGAGGGATTGTTTGATCAGAAAATGTTTCCTGAGGGCCCTGTGCTGAGCCCTGGGCCACATTTGAGCTGGCCCTTGAGGTCTGAATAGAAGCTCATCAGGCGGAGGCACTGTGAGCAGAGGCCGTGGTGGGAGGCTGCTCAGGCCCCTGGGCTTCCTGAAGCTGTGTTCCCCCGTCCTCTGAGTGACAGACCCATGGTTTACCCCCAGGCCATCGTGGCTCGAGCCAACAGCCTGAAGAATTCTGGAGTCCCTGATGACATCTTCAAGCTGGATGACCTCTCGGTCTTGGTCAGTGGTTACCTACTCACCCGGCCCCTATGCTGGAACCATCATTCCGTGTCCCCTCCCTGCTGTGGCCCCTGGAGATGGCCTCACTTTACAGATGGAAAAGCTGAGGCTCAGGCTGGCCAAGCCTTCCTCAGGGTCACACATGGAGTCAGATCCCTTGCCCCCCAGGGTTCCAGCAGTCTCCCTTTGGCCCAGAACCCCTCTCATCTCTTCTCCCCTCGGTGCCCTAATTGATCCCCCAGCTTGACAGAGGCTGGCGGAGGGGGCCCACCACCCCGGACCTCTTTCTCCTCCTGCCTAGGACTTGAGTTATAACCAGCTGACAGAGTGCCCCCGGGAACTGGAGAATGCCAAGAACATGCTGGTGCTGAACCTCGGCCACAACAGGTGTCTGTCCTGCTGGGGCAGGGGTGGGGGCTGGGGCAAGGTGAAAAGGGCCTGGTGGGGCCTGGCTGTGGCTTATAGCGCCAGCTAGGCGATCCTGACTGCCCGGCCCCTCCCTCCTGCCTGCAGCATCGAGACCATCCCCAACCAGCTCTTCATCAACCTTACCGACCTGCTGTACCTGGACCTCAGTGAGAACCGCCTGGAGAGCCTGCCCCCGCAGATGCGCCGTCTGGTGCACCTGCAGACGCTGGTGCTCAATGGGAACCCACTGTTGCATGCACAGCTTCGGTCAGCGCCCTGTGATCTCACCTGATCTCACCTACGGGAATCTGACCCGGCCCTCACTCCCCGGGAACCTGGCCCTTCCTGCCCCGGGCCTGTGTACCTCGCTTGTCCTGCACCCCAACACCCCATCCTTCCTACGTGTCATGTCCCATCCACGCTGCTCACAGCTGCCCTTGGCCTTTCCCCTTCAGGCCCTCCTGATCCCTTGCTCTAGGCCTGACCACCCATGTCTCTCTGCAGACAGCTGCCAGCTCTGATGTCGCTGCAGACCCTGCACCTGAGGAACACCCAGCGCACCCAGAGCAACCTCCCCACCAGCCTGGAGGGCCTCAGCAACCTTGCAGGTTGGCATGAGTAATTCCGACTGCAGGCTCTGGCCTCCTCAGGTTCCTCTTACAGAGAAAGGGGTTGAACCACTTCTCTGATCTCCTTCCAGAGGGAAGAAGACAGGGCTCTTATGGTTGTCTTTGTCATTAATTATCACTACTAACAGTACTGAGTTAGTTGCCCTCACATATGTCTAGACGTACTCAGCGTGAGCGTTTCTCAGAAAGAGAAACAGAAAGACTGAGGCTTAGAGAAAGGTTAAGTCACTTAAGACACAGAGCCTGAAATGGTGGAGTGGGGTTCACAGCAGGCTGGCTGCCCCCAGAGCCAGCTGCGTGGGCCCTGACTGATGCACCCCACCTGAACCCCAGATGTGGATCTGTCCTGCAATGACCTGACACGGGTGCCGGAATGCCTGTACACCCTCCCCAGCCTGCGTCGCCTCAGCCTCAGCAGCAACCAGATCACAGAGCTGTCGCTGTGCATTGACCAGTGGGTGCACTTGGAGACCTTGAACCTGTCCCGCAACCAGCTCACCTCCCTTCCTGTGCGTCCGGGTCTGGAGGGGCGGGAAGGACCACTAGACTACCCTGGCTCCCACCCTGACTCCTGTCCACCCATCTCCCCTCTAGTCAGCCATTTGTAAGCTGACCAAGCTGAAGAAGCTGTACCTGAACTCCAACAAGCTGGACTTTGATGGGCTGCCCTCGGGCATCGGCAAGCTGGCCAGCCTGGAGGAGTTCATGGCTGCCAACAACAACCTGGAGCTGATCCCCGAAAGCCTCTGCAGGTGCTGGGCCAGATGTAGTCAAAGGGGTCCTCAACATAGAAACCCGGAATTACAGACAGATGGTCCTGTGGGGAGACTGTGCCTATCCCCGGCCTTCACGCCTTCCACTGCTCCTGCGCTGGCCTGGCTGCTCAGTCCTCTGGCCGCCTGCCTCACTCTAGTGCACCCACACCCCCAGCCTGATGCCTTGGCTCTATCCTCACAGGTGCACAAAGCTGAGAAAACTCGTCCTGAACAAGAACCGCCTGGTCACCCTCCCGGAGGCCATCCACTTCCTGACAGAGATCCAGGTGAGGGCAGGCCTGTGGTGCCAGAGCCCTGGGGGAGGCCCAGTGGCAGGGCAGAGTGCAGGCAGATGCTCAGAAAAGACTGAGCAAAGCAGTGTGCACCCACACCTTGGAGAGGTGAGCCACGTGGCTGTGACCACGTCACGGTTGCTGCACCATGTAAGACACACAGCCAGGGCCCTCCCTAGTGGCACAACGGGTTGAGGTGCAGCAGTATGAAGCTGTCAAAGCCACTGCAGCATAGGTTCAATCCCCAGCCAAGGGGTGACCCACATGGCTCAGCAGACCTCTCCTATCTCATCTGCTGTTCTCAGCAGTGGGTTTTATTTTTTTTAATTATTAAAAAAAATTTTATTTATGCTTACAGAACTGGGGTACAGACCAGAGGCGTGGTAGGTGAGAGGATTCACCAGAGACAGAGTGGGGAGCAAAACAGGCAGATCTACTGAAATATACTACTGAGGGGAGCAGCGGGTAGGTCAGGAGGGGTCTTCTGCGCCATGTGACAGGTCACCTCCCTGGCTGGGGATTGAACTTGTGCTGCAGTGGCTTCTGAGAGCTTCATAGTGCAGAGCTTCAACCCACTGCACCACCAGGAAGGGCCCAGCAGTGTATTTTAGTGCATCTACCTGTTTTGCTCTTTGTCTCTGGTGAATCCTCTCACCACCCCTGCACCTCTGGCCTGTACCCCAGTTCTGTGTGCACAAATAAATAAATCTTAAAAAAAAAAAACAAAAAAAAAACCACAACTAGCTGTGAGGAGGGACAACCCCAGCACAGGGAGAACTTTCCTCTCAGCCGTGGTGGCTGCAGTAATAAGAAACTGGGTTTGGAGTGGCTAGGAGGTGGGACTCCAGCTCAGCAACTGTTCCACTCACCCCTGAGCAGATCCTGGACGTGCGGGAGAACCCCAACCTGGTCATGCCTCCCAAGCCTGCTGACCGCACTGCTGAGTGGTACAACATCGACTTCTCACTGCAGAACCAGCTGCGTCTGGCGGGGGCCTCCCCTGCCACGGTGGCTGCAGCAGCAGCTGGTGAGCTGGGGCAGGTCTGATCTGGGAGTTGGGGGTTCCCCCCGAACCTCACCTTTAAGGTGGGGCACAGCTCTCTGGACTCCAGAGGGTGGGGTTGGCCCCTGGTTGGTGACCTGCACCCCAGGGGCTCAGCCAGGGTTCAGCTTTCATGTCTTCTGTAAGCAGGAAGTGGGCCCAAGGACCCCCTGGCTCGAAAAATGCGACTCCGGCGGCGGAAGGACTCAGCCCAGGATGACCAGGCCAAGCAGGTGCTGAAAGGCATGTCAGACGTGGCCCAGGAGAAGAACAAAAAGCAGGAAGTAAGTTGGGCTAGGAGAGACTAGGTGCCCTGGGTGCGACCCAAGACTGACCTGAGTCAAGAGGGAACAGGGACTCGGGCAAGGAGCCCGTGCAAAGGCCCTGAGGTGGGCAGCAAGTGACTGCAGCCAAGCTGTCCGTTGTGATGTGACCTAGGAGAGTGCCGAGGCCCACGCCCCCGGGGGCAAAGGGCGGCGCTGGGACCAGGGCCTGGAGAAGCCGCGCCTCGACTACTCCGAGTTCTTCACGGAGGACGTGGGCCAGCTGCCCGGCCTGACCATCTGGCAAATCGAGAACTTTGTGCCGGTGCTGATAGAAGAAGCCCTCCATGGCAAGTTCTATGAGGCTGACTGCTACATTGTCCTCAAGGTGAGGGTGGGGCTTGTGACCCCCTCTACTTACAGGGTTCGGAACCCCGTTCCGGTGTGTCCACTGAGGTGAGATGGGAGGGTGACGCAAAGGAGGCCAGGGTGGGGTGACCCAAGCTGAGCATGGCAGTACCACCCCTCCTGGGACCTCTCGGGTGAGCTGGGAATTCGGGGCGCCCAGGTGGGGGGCTGATGGGACCGGTGCCCTGGCCCCAGACCTTTCTGGACGACAGCGGCTCTCTGAACTGGGAGATCTACTACTGGATCGGCGGGGAGGCCACGCTCGACAAGAAGGCCTGCTCTGCCATCCACGCCGTCAACCTGCGCAACTACCTGGGTGCCGAGTGCCGCACAGTGCGGGAGGAGATGGGTGACGAGAGCGAGGAGTTCCTGCAGGTGCCAGTCTGACAGAGGGTTGTGGGTGGCACGGGCCGGGGCCCTGGGCATGGGCAAGGTGGGGGGCAGTCAGGAATAATGAGTGAGGTGAGGGGAGGCTGGGGTGAGGTGGGAGCTGCAACCTGTAGTGACTGGGGGGCGGGGCTGGGAGCTGAGCACCAGAGAGGTGCCCAGATTCACCCCTTCACAACCCTGCTGCCTCCCACAGCCTGCATGGCACACACCTTCACGCGTGCACAACCTCAGGCTCCAGCCTGAGTTTATGCTTACAGACACATCTTACATCTTAAAGATTTATGTGTTTAAGAACTGGGGTACAGGCCAGAGGTGGGGGGGTGAGGGGTGAGAGGGTTCACCAGAGACAGAGTGGGGAGCAGAACAGGCAGATCGACGAAGTACACTGCTGAGGGGAGCAGCGGGCGGGTCAGGAGAGGTCTGCCGCGCCATGTGGGTCAGCTCCCACAGCCGCAGTGGCTGTGGACAGCTTCATAGTGCTGCACTTTAACTCCTTAAGCTACCTGGGAGGCCCAGATCTTATGTAGCACCTGGCATACCTGTACTCAGTGGCATTTGGGGGTGGGGGGCAGCGGTCTGATGAAGGATCATACATTCGCAGGTGTTTGACAACGACATCTCCTACATCGAGGGTGGAACAGCCAGTGGCTTCTACACCGTGGAGGACACACACTACATCACCAGGTGAGGAGTGTGCAAGTGGGCGACGCGGATCTGGACTCCAGTGGGAAGGGGGGTGTCCACGGTGGACTTGGTGCTCATGCCAGGCACACTTGCCCCTGCCCCAGGATGTATCGCGTGTACGGGAAAAAGAACATCAAACTGGAGCCCGTGCCTCTCAAGGGGGCTTCCCTGGACCCAAGGTGAGTGCCTGTGACACAGGTGGGGTGCTTGACCCTGATCCTCCTCACCCGTAGGGGGAAGGTTTGGACTCCAGAGGAAGAGCCTTTCAGCAACCCTTTTCTTTCTTTGTAAAAAAATATTTATTTTCTTTATGTATGCAAGAACTGGGGTACAGGCCAGAGGTGCAGGGGTGAGGATTCACCAGAGACAGAACAGGTGGATTGGCTGAAACACTGCTGAGGGGAGCAGTGGGCGAGGCAGGAGAGGTCTGCTGTGCCTTATGGGTCAGCTCCCTGGCCGGGATGGAACTCAAGCAGCATTGGCTGTGGCCAGCTTCACAGTGCTGTGTCTTAACCTCTTGTGCCACCAGGAGGCCCCCAGCAACCCTTTTATCTCCTGTCACACACAGCTTGTTGGGGGCAGGGTGGCAGGAACCTCTGAGGCCCAGAAGGAGGCCTAAAACCCTGTAAAGGGGGACTTGGGGGCAGGGTTAAGGGTATGGGGCAATGATTGTCTGTGACCATCACAGCACCTCCTGCTCCTGCCCAGGTTCGTTTTCCTACTGGACCGAGGGCTGGACATCTACGTGTGGCGGGGCAGCCATGCCACGCTGAGTAGCACCACCAAGGCCAGGTACGAGGACCAGCCCTGCTCAGATGCGCGGGATGTTCTGAACAAAGGGAACGGGTCTCACTGAGGGTTCTGTACTCCACCCTCAGGCTCTTTGCAGAGAAAATTAATAAGAACGAGCGGAAAGGGAAGGCGGAGATTGTGCTGCTAGTGCAAGGCCAGGAACCCCCAGAGTTCTGGGAACCCCTGGGGGGACAGCCTTCTGAGATCAAGAAGCATGTCCCTGATGACTTCTGGCCACCCCAGCCCAAGCTGTATAAGGTGAGCCAAGGTATTGGGGTGACTGTGCACCACTGCTGGCTGTAAGCGCCACCTGGACTTCAGTGGGGAGAGGGAGCCACCTGCTGGACAGGGGAGAACCTGGGGCAAGTTCTGGAGCCAGGCTCTGGGAGGGGCCGTGACTTGAGCAGCACCTTCCGGGAAGGAGGGGCTGAAGAGGGGGCTGAGGAGCGCCTGGGTGCCTGAGAAGGTGGCCTTAATTCTGTAGGTGATAGAAAGCCACGGGGATGTTATGAGCAGGAAAAGCAAGTAAGAGAATTAGAAACAATGGTAAGAACCTGGTGAGGGCAGGCAGAGTTTAAAAGCCTTTCTACTGATTGAATTATCCCCAGCACAACTGCGGGGAGAGAGGAGGCAGCGATCCAGAGAGACAGTGGGCCTGGGCGCATAGCCACAGGCCAGAGGCCAGACAACAAGTCAGGGGCTGTTTTGAGTGGGACTCACAGCCCCGGACGCCTTTCCCGTTAGACCCACCTCTTCACCTGCAGGTGGGTCTGGGCCTGGGCTACCTGGAGCTACCACAGATCAACTACAAGCTATCCGTGGAGCATAAGATACGGCCCAAGGTGGAACTGATGCCTGGGATGCGGCTGGTGAGACACAGGGAGGCGGGCTCGGGCCAGGTACCCTCCCCAGGGTAGGGCACCCGCACTGACCTCCAGCCTCTGGCCCCACAGCTGCAGAGCCTGCTGGATACGCGCTGCGTGTACATTCTGGACTGTTGGTCCGACGTGTTTATTTGGCTGGGCCGCAAATCCCCACGCCTGGTGCGGGCAGCGGCGCTCAAGCTGGGCCAGGAGCTGTGTGGGATGCTGCACCGCCCGCGCCATGCCACTGTCAGCCGCAGCCTCGAGGGCACCGAGGCACAGGTATGCGATGTGGCCCTGCTCGTGAGGCCGCCTCACCCAGGCCCTGTGGAACATTCCTGCCCTGAGCCCTCCATGAGTCACCACTCTACTTCCCAGGCCCCACCCCTGGGCAACTGGCTCCTCCCAGAGTTGCCAAGCCACGCCCCTTCCCCACCCACTCGCCCCTTTCCTGGACCTCCTCAGCCTCCAACCTTACTTATGCCCTAACCCCACTCCAGCACGTGTTTTACCCACTTCGGCAGGTGTTCAAGGCCAAGTTCAAGAACTGGGATGATGTCTTGACAGTGGACTACACGCGCAATGCAGAGGCCGTGTTGCAGGGCCCGGGACTCGCTGGGAAAGTGAAGCGCGATGCTGAGAAGAAAGATCAGATGAAGGCCGACCTCACTGCGCTCTTCCTGCCGCGGCAGCCGCCCATGGCGCTGGCCGAGGTGGGGCAGGGGTCTCGAGCTGTGTGTGGGAGGATGCACCGGGTTCTGGGAGAAGAGCTGTGTGCCTGGGGTCTTGGGGGGGCCCCTGCCTGGTGAGGAGGACCAGTCTGCTGGTTGCCTGCAGGCTGAGCAGTTGATGGAGGAGTGGAACGAGGACCTGGACGGCATGGAGGGCTTCGTGCTAGAGGGCAAGAAGTTCGCGCGGCTGCCAGAGGAGGAATTTGGCCACTTCTACACGCAGGACTGCTACGTCTTCCTGTGCAGGTGCTGGCACAGGGCACCGCGCTTCTGGCCCTGCCGAGTGCTGGGGGCCCAGTGCTGCTCACCTCCCTCTGACCCCACAGGTACTGGGTTCCTGTGGAGTATGAAGATGAGCAGGATAAGAAGGAAGATAAGGAGAAGGGAGGTGCTGAGGGCAAAGAAGGCGAGGAGGCAGCGGCCGAGGCGGAGGAGAAGCAGCCTGAGGAAGACTTCCAGTGCACCGTGTACTTCTGGCAGGGCCGCGAGGCCTCCAACATGGGGTGGCTCACCTTCACCTTCAGCCTGCAGAAGAAATTCGAGAGCCTCTTCCCCGGCAAGTTAGAGGTGTGCCTTCATATTTCGGGGAGGCAAGGCCTGCTAGCAGGGTGGGATCCAGGGAGCTGTGCCTCACATGCCATGCCCCCAGGTGGTACGTATGACACAGCAGCAAGAGAACCCCAAGTTCCTGTCCCATTTCAAAAGAAAGTTCATCATCCACCGGGGCAAGAGGAAGACAGCCCAGGGCGCCCTGCAGCCCAGCCTGTACCAGATTCGCACCAACGGCAGTGCCCTCTGCACCAGGTACCTGGCTGGCGGAGGGGCTGTGCTGGGTGGGGGGGTCAGTGAGCCACCCTGACTCCTTGCTGACATGACCCCTCCCACCCCCAAGGTGCATCCAGATCAACACCGACTCCGGCCTCCTCAACTCTGAGTTTTGTTTCATCCTCAAGGTGGGTTTGCGGTGTGGCCAGCACCTTGGGTCACGGTTGTAGGCTGGGCCTGACCTGAACCTGCTGCACATTCCCCAGGTTCCCTTTGAGAGCGAGGACAACCAGGGCATTGTCTACGCATGGGTGGGCCGGGCGTCAGACCCTGATGAGGCCAAGCTGGCAGAAGATATCCTGAATACCATGTTTGAAACCTCCTACAGCAAGCAGGTGCCTGGGGTGGGCGGCCAGTAGACGGGTGAGCCAGGCAGATGTGGGGAGGGGGCTGGGCACATGACTCTTCCTCCCACAGGTCATCAACGAGGGCGAGGAGCCTGAGAACTTCTTCTGGGTGGGCATCGGAGCCCAGAAGCCTTACGATGATGATGCAGAATACATGAAGCACACTCGACTTTTCCGGTGAGCCAGGCCCTTGGGCTTCCCCAGCCTCCTCTTCAGTCTGGCCACTGCCACTTCTGACCCTCAGCTGCTCCCTGACCTTTGACTCCTAGGTGCTCCAACGAGAAGGGCTACTTTGCAGTGACTGAGAAATGCTCAGATTTTTGCCAAGATGATCTGGCAGATGATGACATCATGTTGTTAGACAATGGTCAAGAGGTAAGCTGTTGCTGACCCCGCTCATCCAGGGAGCCTGTCCACTTGTGTTATGGAATCCTGAGGCCAGAAGAGGGGTATTCTTGAGTCACCTGTGAGACCATATCCCATTATCTCCCCAGGTGTACATGTGGGTGGGGACACAGACAAGCCAGGTGGAGATCAAACTGAGTCTGAAGGCCTGCCAGGTGAGTGGTGGGAGCTGTGGTGGGAGCTGAGGCGGGGCTCAGTGGACTGGGAGGGGCCTGGGGCTCACCCTTGTCCTCACAGGTCTACATCCAGCACATGCGATCCAAAGAACACGAGCGGGCCCGTCGCTTGCGCCTGGTCCGCAAGGGCAACGAGCAGCACGCCTTCACTCGCTGCTTCCACGCCTGGAGCACCTTCCGCCAGGCCCTGGCTTAGGGCACCCGCCGTCCACCTGCAGTGCCCCCATCACAGCCCAGCTCTGGGGGAAGGGCCTCCGTCCCTCCACCGCGCCAGTAGAGACTGCGCACAGGTGGCAGCTCTGCGCCAGCCACCCCCAGGCCACGTTCCAGCAGCACAGCTCAAACAGCACCAGTGGGGGTAGCCCTGACCCATGCCTGATGCCCTCAGGGACTGGGAAGTGGGACGCCCTTTCCTGCCTGGGGTAAAGCAGATGTGACTGACCTGTATGAGATATTAAATGCTTTTATTTTCAATATTAAAAATCAGTATTTTTAATATTAAAACTGCTAATTTTAGCAAAATGACAAAAAAAAAACCCCAAGGTACAATCTACAGGGAAACCCATCCTGACCATCCCCCATACACACGCACATTTTTCACTCACACACACACATAGACTGAACTTGGCAGGGTTCCCGGTTTCTCTCACAAGAGCACACGCGTGCCACATGGGGGGGGGGTGCTGGCCTAGGAGCAAGTACCAAAATAGTTTTAGAAATGACTGTCCTGCCCAGCACAGGCGTTAGAAAAATACTCTCTGCAAAGGACGGGGGGACTATGAGGAACAGAGGGGCCCAGCTGGGGCCCAGCTGCCAGCCCCAGCCTTGAGTCGCCGAGTGCCTACGCAGGGGCCCAGCAGGCCCTTGAGGCTCTGCCTGGAGTCCAGACCCACCTCCTGGGGCTGCCCTGGGACCAGGGGTGCATAGGTCTCACTGGGACCCCCAGGGTAGCAGGTGTGGGTCTATATGAAGAGCCAGGGTCCTGCAGCCCAGCTTCGAGCAGAGCACGTAGTGGTCAGGCAGTTCTGGTGTTCCTGGTAGAGAAAGAAAACAAAAAGTTGGCAGAAAACAGCCCAAGTCTTCAGTCACCAATGCAGGGACAAGGGCTGTGCAGTGTCGGCCTGAGGGGGGCTTGCTAAGGCTTCGGGTGCTGACCACACCAATCCACTGAGGGCAAAGGGGATAGTGATGAACCCTGCAACAGCTGAAGAGAACTGGGGTGTCTGCCTGCTACAGGGTGAGGCTGTGTGTACAGGGGCACTAAATGGCAAACAGACTTGGCCAACTATGAGCCCCAGATCTGAGGCTGGAGCAATGCTGGTCAGTCTTGATCCAGCAGGCCCAGCCTTGTGTGCCTCAGTGATCTCATCTTTGACACAGCTGACCACAACCACCCCAAGCTGCTACCACTCTTCAGTGGTTTGGTCTAGTCTTGGTTCAAACACCACCCGTGATACCCAGGGGTGAACGGGCTGACCTGACCCTGTTTTCCTAACACCAAAGTCCAAGAATCCTATCTGTGTGGGCCCCTGGAGCCCGACTAAGACACCCTAGAAGGCCTCGGACATCAAAGAGCACCTCCATCATGGGGGCCTGCCAAGGTTTGAGGTGTGAGAACAGAGCAGGGACAGGGGTCCCCCTGAGTGCTACAAATTGTCGAGGGATAAGGACCAGGTGGATCCAGGCCCCTCCTTCCCCCCAATCTACAGCACCTCATTTAATCAGAATGGTGCAGGCTCGAGTATCATCTTCTACCAGGTTCCTCAGATTCCTCTCAGATTCCTCTGAAGATCTGGGGGGGGGGAAGGGCCGTGGTCAGAGCATTCCAGAGCTTCATGCCATCAGGCTGAAGGATGTGTAGCCCACCCGCCTCACCCCAGGAAATCCTTCACATCTTCCACTGTGACATCCCCTGTGGTATCCAGTGTGGTGTCAGCACTTGTGGCTGAGTCAATGGACATTGGTGAAAGGGAGGCCTCAGGTGGCTCTGCATTACCTGCAGGGGTACAGGGAGAGAGTGGTCAAGCCCCTACCAGAATGTCTGGACAACCTCTGCATCAGACCTGGGCACCCAGCCCCCAACCCAGAGGGACATGGCACCCACATGGAGACTCCCCACCCTGCCTCCCAGACCTCTTCCCAGGCTGCCAGCTGCTGCCTCCTTAAGGGTGTGCCCCATGTCTGAGCTGTGTGGCACCCTGCCACCCCTTTTTCACACCCAGTCCCCCTTACCATCTCCCTTGCTCTGGACAGGATCAGGACTTTCATCATGACTCGGTGGGGACAGGACAACACCTGGGGTCCCATTAGCGTGGCTCAGCTTGGGTGACCGTTGGAGCCTGCAGTGCAGAGATGGGACCATGAGGGGGCACCGCTGGCCGGCACCTAGGGCTCGAGAGCCAGGCTGCTACCCCCCTGCTCCCATGCACTGCACCTGAGTGGCTGACACCAGGCAGCGCCACCCCTGCTCCATGCAGTAACAGGGTGGGGACAAGACTGGCCTTGGTCGCAGGCCTCTGGGTCAGGGGTTGACCCATTTATGCACCTGGAACGAGCAGCATCGTGGGGCCAGCCAATGTCCAGAGTGCAGAGTGGTTCTGTGATGTTCCGGGCACTTAGGGAAAAGCGTTCGAACTCAGATGGGGAAATCAGATAAAAACCTGGGTGGGAAAGAAGAGGAGTGAAGCTCTGCAGCTGATCCCCCCAGGCGCACCCCAACAAGCCACAAGCCCTCCCACCCGGAACACCCTTTCTGCTGATCCTCCCTGGCAGTTCTCCTGGCCCACATGGCCCTGGGCCCTGGGCAGCTTCGCCTCACCCTGGCCATGGCGTGTGAAGACACAAGAGGCGATGCCGCTGATGTCCTCCTTGCGGATACAGGCATAGTGCACCTGGGGCCGCAGGCCGGGCACCGAGAAGACATGCACGTCACCCAGGTTGGTGAGGCAGGCCAGGCAGGTCTCAGTGTAGTCCTCACAGGTCGCACTGGCAAACGTGGCCAGGGCCACCTTCCGCACACGACAGCCCTCGTGGGCTGTGAGCTTGAACTTGGTCTTGGCGCTCACTTTGGGCAGTGTGAACACCTGGCAGTGAGAAGGCAGCAAGTGAGCAGAGCTGACCCTCTGCAGAGCCCTGGGGCCCTCCCTCCTGGCTGCCAGGACCCATCCCCAGCCCTACCGCAAGCCCAGCCTGCACCTAGGTAGGCTGACACCCTTGGTCACCTCCCACCCTGAGCTACCATTCTGCCTTCACATTGTTCCCAGAAACCTCCCAGAACCTCCCTTCTGTGACAAAACCAGGAGTTGTAGGATTCAGATGGCTGGTGTCTCCCCAACCCCCCCACCAAGTTCCTTCCAGACACAGTCCCAGGACTTGGACAGAGGCTATTGGAGGAACTGGAGGTGAAAGGGTCCTACAGGACTTCAAGGGGCAAAAAGGGCATCTCTGCTGGCCAGAGAACCACAGGGAATCTCAGAGGATGCGGGCGAAGGCAGGCTAGGGGCTCAAGAGGGCCCAGGAGTAGCTATGAGAGGGGAGCCGTGAGGGCGTCTCCAGGCAGCGTACCTTGAACTGCTCCTCAGAGGCGATGAGCACGGCATGGCCACCCTGCATGTCGGGCGCTTGTGCCAGGTCCCGTGAGGCCTCATAGGGCTCAGGCAGTGGGCGGCCGCGCCCGTCCAACACAGCAATGGCCACCACAGGCGCACGATGCATCAGCTGCACCTCCTTGCCCAGCACGGCCTCCACTGCCCGCTCAGGTCGCTTCTCATTGCCCGCCGCTGCCGCAGGCACCTCCAGCGCATAGGCGAACACAGAGCCAGAGTTGGTGCCTGCCCACATGGTGGGCCCGTGGTGGGCCGCTGAGGAGCAACGGGTTGGTGAGGGAGGGCATCTTCCTGAGGCCCTGGGACCCAGGACTGTGTTCTCCTCATGCCTCCCTGACCTCAGCCAGCCTCGGCACCACCTCTATGCTGCTGACAGATGCAGCCCTCCCTGGGGAGCAGGAACTGCCTCTTGGGCACCTCCACAGGGACACCAACAGCAACCAGACTGGACCCTGATCTCCCTGACTCTCGCACACCACACCCTTAGCCCCCAACTCAGTGATGCAGCCCCCAACTCCCATCTGCCCCCTCCCCGGGGCCTTCTCATCACTAGTCCTGTCAACAGACTCAGAATCAGGGTTGTGGCCCAGGTGTGACCTTTTACTCCCCCCATTTCACCCACTTGCCTCAGTGGGGTCCCAGGCCTGAGCTAGGCTTGGATGCTGTGTAATACCTTCGCAGTGTGAACTGAAGCTCCAGGGAAGGTTCTTTAGTGAAGAACCAGAGCTAAAAATGCAGGAACATGGGCGGCTCCAGAGGAAAGCTGTGTGCACCTTGAGGAATGATGACCTCAAGCAACAAGCATGGGAGAGCCACGTCCCAGTGAGAAGTTAGCAAGTGACTCAAACCTGGCCCTGGGCACCACATCCCTGACTACTAGGAGCCTAGGCCCGGCAGCCTTCTCATGGGGACAGGGGGACAAGGTGAAGTCCCCCGGGGCACATCCAAACAGATCCACTGGGTAAAGAACCCTCAACAGATCAGTAACACCAGAAGTGGGGGCTCCTCCAGACTCGGCCTGAAAGACACGCAGTGGGGCACCGCAGGCTGACCCAGCACTAGCCACCGAGAGGCAAATGTGAGCCAAAGCCCTGGGTCGGCATCCACTCCACAGGCTGCGGCATGGGCCGTGGCTGCAGATCACCTGCTAGCCGCCCGCACACGGACGTACTCGAGCAGGTGACTCACTCACTCTTTTTGTAGGTGGCTGAAATTCTCCATTGTACAAATTAAAACCAACAAGTAAACCCAGCCACATCACTTCTGTGCAGGTCCCTCCTGAGGCCCGCGCCTGCTGGAGCCCTCTTCCTGCACTCAGACACCGCTGCTCAGGGCCTTGGCCAGCCCCGCACGCCTGCTCTCCAGCTCTTGGCTCCCTCCTGTCAGTTCAGGCCTCAGAGGCCAACCCGGCTCGCTCACCCACTCACCATCGGAAATTCCCAGAGGATGTTTGGGTAGCCAGGACACAGTGTACACTCACACTCAAACCTCACTGAAGCCAGCACACCCATCCCTCCCCCACCTCTGCCCATTCCTAGAGGGCCAACTAAACCCCACCTCCCAGCCGCTGTCCCTCACCATCTCGAAGGAAAGTGTCAGCGAAGTACAGGCAGCGCACGACCCCAGAGAGGGAGTCGTCGGCCGAGCGGGGTTCTATGCGGCGCTGCACAGGGGTCATCTCCACATCGTGGGGGCAAACCTGCTCTGCCAGATGTGCGTTGGCCTCCTGTAACTGGAGGGGCGTTGGGCTCAGGAACCCCACCTCCCCTGTACCCTACTGCTCCCACAGCCTGGTACCTAACATTCCACACCCTCCCCATTGTGGGAGCCCAGGCTGCTGAGGGGTGAACGAAGAGGAGCAGACACCAGGCTCCAGGCCAGGATCTGAGTCCCACTTGGTTCCCCAGCAAAGCCTGAAGAGGTGGGCCCCAGGCAGCCTGGCCCCAGCTCACCTTGCTATTGGCATGAGGAGTCCGCTTCTTGCCCGAGACCCGGCTCTTGCGAATGCGCCGGAAAGACTGGCGCAGTGACTTTTTGAGTGACTTCACCCGGGAGAGAGGCCCCTCCATGGCTAGGGAGTCATTGGGGTGAAGGGTGCATCTGGAAGAAGGCAGGTGCCAGTCTGACTGTGGGGGGCCTTCTGGGGCAGCCACCGCACTCCAGATGGCCACAGGACAGGGGCCAGTCTTCTGACACTGCCCCGGGAACCCTGCAGCAGCTAACTTAGAACTTGACAAGCAGCACTTCACTTAAGACAAAGCTGCCAGAGGCAACAGCGTTGCCCTCACCATCAAAGTTCAGAAGGGGTGACAGCGAGGTCCCACAGGAGCAGGGGGCTAGGCAGAGGTACAGACCCACCTCTCCAGGCTCCAGAACACCCCTTACACACCTGGCCAGAACAGGGCTCTTGCGCTGGTAGTCGAAGAGGCCAAAGCCATGACTGGTGCCAAAGGCTACGAGGCTCCACTCAGCGTGGAGCGTGATGGCTGTGACGGCGGCTGGCGGAAGGCATTGAACCAACACACGGGGCTGGAAGCCGGCAGGCCAGGGCAGCGGCCCCGTGCGTGGGCTCAGTCGCTCGTGGCCCTTCCAGGTGAAACCCTCGCGGTCCTGGAGGAGGTCCACACTGGCCATGCTGACCGCCTGCTCCGATGGCACATCGCTTAGCTCGAGCACCAGCACCTGAGCCCACAGAAGGGCAGGGGGTCAGCAAAGGAATGGGGCCTACCTCAACCTGCAAAGGTACAATCAGGGCGGTCCCGGCGTTGCCCACAGTTCATCCAGTGAGTAAGCACTTACTGAATGCCAACTGTGTACCAGGGTCCTGAAGGTTGAGGAACACAGTGGTGACAGTCCTCCAAGAGTGAAGTGCCCGCCTTCACAAGCCTGTCTCCCATTTAGTGACTAGCACAGATCGAGCACCTTCTGTATACTTGAATGCTAGGGCATGGAGGTGACCAAGACCCCACTGGTCGCTGCCCTCCCAGGACTCATCTAACACAAATATTCCACTGTGTCAACTTCCCAGGGTTTCCTAGAGACAGACTTCCTTGAGACTGTCTGGACTCAAAACCCCCAGACAGATCCCCAACTCCTTGCCTGGCCTTACCCCCCCTATCCCCATGGAGTCCCATTCCCGTCTGAGCTTTTGCCCACACTCATCCTTCTACCACTGTACCAGACCCTCCAGTGCAGAAAGCCCTCTAAGCCCCCAAGCCTTGAGACACCTCAGCCCTACCTGGCCTGCAGTGCCAGCCACCACCATGTGGGCTGTGTACTTGCAGAGAGCCACCTTCTGCACACCAAGCCGGGGGTCATCACTGTAGGGGTCAAAGCAGCCAACCTGGGGGTGGGATGAAGTGATGACACAAGCAAGGCAGGCTCTGTGGGGCTGGGGAGGGGCCCGCTTAGGGGAGGAGCCCACCTTGCGGAAGGGTGGCCAGTCATCCTCAGCGGCCTGGGCCAGGCTGTCAGCATGCTCACAGTCCGTCTGGAAGAGTCCAGCTGTGCTCAGCTTGTAGAGTGGCCGCAGTGCCACACCAGAGGCATCCCAGAACCTCACAGTGCCATCCTCATGGCTGCAGGAAAGGTGATGTTAGACACCCCATGACCCTGCATACACCCCCCCGCCCCCCAATCCAGTCGTTCAGAGACCACTCACAGGGCACCTACCGCACATGACCAACACCCTAGTGCACACAGCAGGACAGCAACACCCAACACCTACTGTACCACATGCACCTGGCCCTTCAGACAGGGTGAGATGGTAGTGGGGTAACACAGGGAACAGAGGATCAATCACGGGTTATGCTACTACTGGAGTATCCAGAAAAGATGGCGAGTTAGCCAGTCGCAGAGTAGAGGGATCAGTTAGGGTAGAGGTGGCTATGCAGGCAGAGTAGCATGGAGGAGGCCAGGAAGCAGCAGGGAGGGGACATGAAAGGGAAAAAAAGTCAAATCTGGGGTGCAGCCATGAGACACAGACCCCAAACTGAGGAACCCTAGAGAGTGGTAGGAACCCAGAGTCAAGGTGTGAGAAGATGCGTGAGTCTGAGGCTGGCTGGGACATTTCTAATGGCGCTTTAAGCCACAATTAATTCTCAGGCAGAGGATGAAACGCTGGAGTCAAGGCCCAAGGGTCCTAGTACATGCAGACAGTAGGGCAGGGCAGGAAGTTGGGGCCTGAGTCACCGGGCACGTCAGCACCCGCCAGGCCCAGGCCAGGCTCTCTAGCACCTGCCCTGGGCAGCTCCGCGTGGGCTAGCCCAGATTTTCCGGTCCCAGGGCAGGCTGGGTAGGTGGAGCTCAGTTGCAGGCCAAAAGGCAGGGCAGGGCAGGGCCTCGCACCAGGGTCTAGAGGCTTCATCCCAATCCACACTGCAGGAGGGGGCAACCTGATCCCACCAGGGGCCACGCCTGAGTTACTGGGCAGGTCAGCACCTGTGAGGCCCAAAATCCAAGATAGGCTCTTCCAAGCCTGTTTGGGTCACATCAGGCCCTGCTCCCCCCCCCACACAGCTACACACACGTACACACATACACACTCACATACACACTCTCTCTCTCATCACAACTGTGCCTGCCTATGGGACACACGTCTGCCTACCCAGTCAGCAGCAGCCCTCGCTGTGATGGCTCCTGGGCCAGGTTTCGACCCCCAGTGATGGGCCAGCTCTGGGAAAAAGGCAGAGATACAAGTGATCGAGCAGGACAAATATCTTCTCCCTCTCACCCTGGGCATGGCACTCTAAGGCCATCTGCCTGAGTCCCTCTTGCCACAGTCCTACCTCAGGCCTGGGCCTGTGCAGCGCCTTCTACCAGGAACACCCTCCCTCCTCAAGACCCGGCCCACGGGGAACCTCTGGGCACACACCAAGGCGCTAGAGGCAGGCTGCGGACTCTGCTGCTCGCCCGCGCTCAGAATGCGGGCCCACAGCTTGGCAGGGACACTGGCGACGTGGGCTGAGCAGGTGATAGCGGACGAGTGCAGAGGGGCCAGGTAGGGAGCAGGTATGGCCGGCCAGCCAGGCGTCTGCAGATCTAGCACCACCAATTCCTCTTCAAGCAGCACAGCCAGGGCCTGGGGCTCGTCGAATTCTGCAGGTCAAAGAAGGGATGAGTGCAGCCACGGGTGGCACAGGGCACGGAGCAGGGAGGGTAGGGCACACACCGTCCTCGGGCCGTGCGCTGTGCACTGTGAAGAAGTCGATGATGCGGGAGGTGAAGTCCAGCGTCACCAGAGTCTCGGCCCGGAGCACACTCACACAGTGGCGGTCGCCATAGCTGGCACGTGGCATGCCACCACTGAAGATGATAAAGTGGCTCCTGTGTCGGGGTGAAGAAGCCACATGAGCCACAAGGGCTGGGAGCAAAAACACCCTATCCAGGGAGTATCACAAGATACCCCTATAGCCCCAGAGTACCCCCTTCCACCCTCTTCCCCAGAAGCAGACCCTGACCCAGCTCCCCCTTACCCGGATTCACAGTTTCGCCACAGAATCTTGTTGATGGCTTTACAGGGGAAAGGGCCTAGAGAGGCGAGACAGTGTTAAACCCACTTGCCGGAACCAGGAGAGCCCCAAGTGCCATTCTCATGTTCACCCTGTCCTGCCTCCATCATGAACCCCCTTGCAGCTGCAAGGGGAGGACCACAGCCCCAGCACGGCCCTGGGAGCCTCACCTTCTTGGATTTGACCTGGCACTGTCATCTTCCACAAGCCCTCCTGGATACCCCCACCAAGGGCAGGCAGCCCCAGCACCCACGCTTGGTCATCCACCTACCCCTCACTCAGGTAGTGGGGGCTGCCCTGGGCCTCCCCTGCACTCACCATAGGGAGTGGTGGCTACCGTGGGCTGCGATACTGGGGAGCTGCCAGTGTCTACAGGCCAGACGGCATAGCTACCGTCACTGTGTGAGCTGACCAGCGTGCTACCGCTGCGCTCCCAGCACACGCTCTCCAGCTGCTGCAGGGGGAGGGGAGACAGGCATAAGCAAGGCAGCTGTGAGAAGAGGGACCTGCGCCAGGCACTGGCCCACCCACATACCTGGTTGCCCAGGAAGACTTGGTCCACACACTGCGTGACCTGGTTCCAGATAACTAGCAGGCCCCGGCTGTAGCCGATGAGGATCTTGGTGGGGTCCCGTAGGTGTCCCTGGAGTGACTCCACGGGGCCCAGCGCCTTCCCACACCGGTAGTCATCTGGCACACTGCAGAGTTGAGGTAAGCTGGAGGAGGCTGCCCGGGCACAGAGCTAGTGCCGGGAAGCTTGCCTGCTCTCACCTTCGCAGCACCTCCTCTGGGCCAAGGGTCTGCCCCTCCAGCAGCGTCAAGTTGGCAACATCCAGGAAGCAGACACTGCCTCCCTCGGTGCCCAGGGCTGCAGTATCACCAGCAGCCAACAGCAGGACCACCGTGACTCGGGCAAGGCTGGGTGGGCCACTGCAGGAGAACAGGGGAGGCAGGTAGGGTGTGAGCCCATCTACCCGCCGGGAAGGGTATGGAGGAGCTTGGGCTGTCTATCAGCTCATTACAGCCCCTCTGTACTTGCTGGGGCCTAATTATCGAGTGGGCTGGTGTGAGGGAAAGGTGACAGTGGTGGCTGTGGGCATCACAATTAGCTAGTTCAATTATTCATCAGGATGTCGACAGGGAGATGATAAAAATAGTTTGCCAAGGTCTTGGAGATGGGCTCCTGAACTCCTCCCACCAACCACGTGGGAGGCAGAACCAGGCCACCTGAGTGAGCCAGGGCCCTGGGCTCCAGGACACACTCAGGAGACGCCACCAGCTGACAGATTTTCTTGACTTGACAGGAGAGTCCCAGGTTACTCCTGCCCCGTGCAAAGGCTTGGAGACACCAGAAATTAGCTCTGGGTCAGAGCTGGAAGTACGGGGTATCATCCAGACCCTGCAGGAGCAGGACAGGCCTCTCCTAGAGCCTGGAAGGCATGCTATGGCATGAAGGACTCCCCCGCTTGGCCATTTCAGCACTGGCTGGCAGGGCCAGGAGAGTTCCCTTATGCTTTCACCTAGAATTTCAGGCCCTCCCTTCCCCCTCCCCCCGTGGCTCCCTGGGATATCCTGCTCTTTGCCCCCAAACCTCCCCCTCTACACAGGCACACCACAGAATGTCATCCTTCGCCTATTCAAAGGAGCCAGGGGACCTTGCTTATGTCAGCTCAGCTGAGACCTGCCCCACAGCTCAGATACTCCCGCCACTGGGAGGAGCACAGTGCAATGCAGCAGGTAAGGATACTGGGACATAACACATCTCCCCTTCCAGTGTGTCCTAGAAGCGCAACTGTTAGAAGGCCTAAAGTACAGAACATGGACCTCACCTATCTCAGAACCAGTTAGAACCTCCCATCCAACACCACCAAGTCCATGTAGTACACCTCAAATGGGCCAAACACTGCCTTCTAGGACCCAGGCCCACCTCAATAGGCCCACCACGTTGAATGCCAGCCCCTGGGGCAGCTTCTGTCCCCACTGTGACTTTACAAGGATTTTCTGTACCCACAGCCATGACAAGGCTCCCCTATGATGGGATGGGCAGGGGCGCATTGGTCCTCCAGTACCTGGCTCCATCAAAACCTGGCCGGCTAGGCAGCTGAAAACTATGCACTTCCTCCAGGTGGGCACAGCCATTGTGGTGGACGATCTCCCAGAGATGGAGGCTGCTGTCGTCCAGCAGGGTCATGAGACGGCCCTAGTAGGTGAGCAGAGACCAAGACTGGGCTGGCCTGAGGGTGGCATAGGAACCATGGGGGCCAGCCAGTGAGGGTAGAGGCTCACCTGCCCAGGCAGGAAGTGCATTTGGGTGACAGTGGCTGTGTCTCGATGCAAGCCTGTGAACTCCACACCAGGGGCACCGTAGCTGAGGGCAGTAAGTCAAGGGCAGAAACAAGCAGGCAGGGCTGGGAGAACCACAGCATAGGAGATACCCAAGTTTCTTCCTTCCCCAGGCCCACTCAGATGGGCCCCAGTTGGTTCTGCCTTTCCTGAAGCCCTCCACAGGCCAGGTGATGGGCTGTCTAGCTGAAAAAGCACCACCTGTGGGGCCTCCCTGGTGACAAAACGGATTAAAGCACAGCACTATGAAGCAATCCTCAGCCACTGCAGCACGAATTCGATCCCCAGCAAGAGACCCACATGGCGTGGCGGACCTCTCCTGACCTGCCCGCTGCTCCCCTCAGCAGTGTATTTCAGTTGATCCGCCTGGTGTGCTCCCACTCAGTCTCTGGTGAATCCTCTCACCCCCTGCACCCCTAGTTCTTTGTATGCATAAATAAATCTTAAAAAAAAAAAAAAAGACACCATCCTGGATCTCAAGGTATCCCCAAGTGCAGGCTCCATGCAGCTCCTACAAGTCAAATGCTGTTGCATGACTTTCACCTCCTCATCTGTAAAATGGGCTGACTCTCCACTACCACCCTGCAGGGCTGATGCAGAGCAAACAAGAATAAAAGCACACCAAAACATTTGGTCCACACCTGGCACACAGCTGGGGTATGTGCCACACATCTGTGTGTGTCCATGGGCCTGGGAGTCGGGCCCACAGGGTGGGATCACACAAGCCAGATATGGCAGCCCAGTTCAGGCAGGGAAGCTGGGAGCACAGAGAAGTCCAGACTGCCTCTTCACACAGCTCCAGGCCAAACTCTGTGAACAAGGAAAGCAACCTCCCTCAGGGCAGCCAGTCAGCATCTGAAGGAAAGGTCCTAACAGGTCCATTTTACAGATGAGCACACAAAGATCTGGAGAGGTTGGGTGACTGGCTTCAAGCACTCAGCATCAGTACCTAAGTCCCAGCAACTCCAGACAGTAGACTGGTCAGGCCTGAGGGGCCTCAAGAAGGGCTGGGGAGGGGGTCATCAAGTTGCCCAGCGACAATGCCTGTTGCCTGGAGCTGGAGTTGGGATTCCCTGCAGGAGCCCTGGAGAACACAGAAGCGGGACAAAAGGGGCAGGAGTGGCTCAGCAGGAACCAGGGTCGCCAAGGAGACACAGTCAGCCCTGAGGGGGAGGGGCAGCCTCTGTAGGCAGAGCTGTCCTCTCCAGCCTCAGTTTCCCAGCCCAGTATTCTGGGGGAAGGCAGGAGAGAAAGAGGGCTCAGGCCTTGTCTTCAAGCTGTCTCTTGCCAGTACTTCAGTGAACATGATGAGCCAGTGCACAAGACGACGCGAATACCAGGGAGACAGCTCAGTGGTTAACACATGCAGAGCATGAGGCGCTTCTGCGGGTCACCAACTGCTGCGACAGGGAGAGAGGTACTGCAGAGACACGACATATGGTGGGGTAGGCGAGCCCCTACATGGAGCAGGAGCAACAGGCCAGGAGGGTGGTGCCCACCGGAGCAAGTGCGACTGGGGTAGAAGGGCCCAGGACCCTCGCCACCCAATCCCCTGCCCTGTGGGGGCCTCAGGGGCCCGGGGACAGCCGCAGCCACACTGCAGAGCAAAAACCATAGGCCCACATGTCCACTCTTGCCTGGTCAGTGGCATCAGCCCCAGCATGGGAGACCCCTTTTCACTTCTCTCTTTCCAAGCACTGATTCATTTTCCACTAACTGAAGAGGATACTGAAACTCAAGGCCCCTGTACTAAACAGCTGCCACCCAGTCCCTGAACCTCAGTTTCCCCGCCTGTGGGGTTTCACCACAAGCAGTGGGGGTAGAATTCTCCAGCAGGAAAGGAGGCATTCAGCTACATGCCTGCCCCCACCCCACCCCCAGCCTGAGCCTGCAGGGAAAATGCCCGCTTTGTGCAGCTCATACGGCCTATTGTGCAGCCACCAGCATCCAGGTGGGGGCCGTGCTGTGCTCACCACGCTGAGCCTGGCACAGCCCCCCACCTCTCCCCTAAACGCCCGTGTCTTCACATATGCACACGTGTGTGCGCCCAGTCACCAGGCCAAGGCCCTCTGTGTGTCCCAAGCCCACTCACTACCCTTGGCGGGTACTGAGCACAGCCCAGCCCCCTGGCCTGGCCTCCTCAGTCACAGTTGCTGGGACGATCCAGGGTCGCCTAGGTAACTGGCTTGTTGAAATGCATCAAGAGACAGCTGTGGTCAGTGCAAGCTGAAGCCCTCCCCCCCCCACCATTATCTCTGTGAGGAGGCATCTGGGGCAGAAGCTGAGCCAACCCCCACTAGGATACTGGCACCTACAAAGGCTTCCAAGGTTGGGCCCTGCCCAAGGAGTCCAGCACAGAGGAGTTGCATGCAAGTTGTTCTGATAGGCCCTGGAGGCCACAGCCACAAAGGATACATCTTGACGGCCCCAGACCTGGTGCCAATGGCCATGATTCGAAGCTCAGGGTCAAAGGCCAGGGCGCTGGGCTGGTTGGGGAAGCCATGCTCCACAGTCTGCAGGGAAAGGGAAGGCACTCGAACAGGCAGCTCTAGCCGTGCTGAGAACTGCTTCACTGCAGCTTCGGCTTCTGCTGCTCCTGCACAGCAGGGCTGGAGCAGGAGGGAGCTGAGGGTGATTCTGTACTCTGCGTCAGAGTCCTCCACTGTGAAATGGACACTCAAACCTCTGCTGTCGTGCAAGGGCCTGAGCCCCTGGGGCCCACAGTTGGTAGCCTTCCCTGGCCGATCCCTCCCTCCCTCAACACCGGTGCTCGCCCCACTGTACTCAGGGCTCCAGGATCAAACAGGGAGAATAAGGCTTGATGAGGTGCAGGCCCTGAAGTGACCCCACCTGCTTCACGGGAACATCGATACCCTATTCCTAGCACAGGCTAAAGCTCGGCGAGTCATCAAGCTGTCCAGGGTCCCTTGTGAAATCCATGGCACTTCCCAAACACAGGCCCTGTATGGATGGCAGAGGCCTACACCCAACCAGGCAGAGGCTCTTGATCCTCCCATCACATTGTGCAGCCCCTACCCAGCAATAGGGTGTTTCTGGCCCAGTCCCTGAAGGTACCATTCACCTCTCAGATTTGGGTTCTCCACTTGGAAGTTGGACAACATGATTTCCACCCCATCTGTGACAGGCTGGTACCATGGGAGCGTGTGGGCAGGGGATGTCAATGGAGCAGCTCCCACTGGGTCCTCTGTTCCTGGCAGGGCCAGTCCTAGCGCAGAGCGCTGCCTATCCTCCACATGCTTTTACTCCTTCCTGCCACCTGCCTTGTACTTTCTCCCTTTGCCCACCCACCTAAGGATCAGCCCTCAAGGCCTGACTGGGAGATCCTCCCTGGGGAACCTGCACCCCTGTCCTCAACACTAATGTGGGTCACTGTGTGGTGGATACCAGTGCTTGCTACCAGCCTCAGGAGGAGACACTATCTATAAAGAAACCAGGTCCCCAAGACTGACACCCAACCTCCTTCCTACCTCAGCTCACCCAGGCAGGGACTGAGTCACCTGGACAGCTGGCTTGGCACCCAGTTGTGGCTAGTCACAGCAATCTGCAAGCCTCAGTTTCCCATTTGGGCATTGGAGGCAGTGAGTCCACCTGAGGATAAAGTTGCCTATTTGGCCAGGGTTGGAGGTAGCTTCCCTTTCCCACCAGCATTGCAATCCCCACGCTGGACCTGACCATGTCCGGCCAGTTCCTCCTCTTCTCAGGGCCCTTCCAGCTAACTCAGAGTCAAAGCCCAGTCCTTACCATCTAGGCTTCTCCCCTACTCTCCCTTTGGCGCACTTGACTCCAGTGGCCTGTTCTTCGATTTACTAGAGGCCTCAGGGCCTTTGCATCTCTTATCCCTCAACTCCCCATAGCAGGCTTCATCCTTTCACTAGGATCTTAGCTCAGTAAGCTCCTCAAAAAACTTCATTATCCACCCCAAACCCCCAGATGTAGCAACCACACATCCCCACACTTCCTTATCCTACTTTACCTTTTGCACTGGCCACTATCCAAACTACAGCACATTTTACTCTTAGGCTTTGACTTTTCACGGTCTCTTCCACTAGTAAAGCTCCTTAGTAAAGAATTAACTGTCCCCTTTGGTCAGTGCAGAGTCCCCAACACCTAGAAGGAGAACTCACACAAAGGAGGAGCTTTGTATTTGTAAACTTCACATACAGTGGATATCCCACAGGCAATGTATAGTCAGGGCTGGGACATGCACACAAGACTGAGTCCAAAGTCTTTGTTCACCCCTGATAGGCCACCCCACCCCACCCCAAACTCAAAAATCTGGGGCCTTCCCTAGTGAGCACCTACTATTCTCTCCACTGACCAAGGCCATCCCCTACCCACTACTGCTGCCCGCTTAGAAAAGGGTCTCATCTTCCTTAGCCGAGAGTTCTTCTGCCAACCCAAGGCCAGTCAGGGAGGCTCTCCCCATCATCTCTCTCAGGCCCCATTTCACACACCAACTCACTGGCTGAGGAGTCACCTTACCACCCCCACCTTTATTCCCCTCTCACCTCCCGGGGATTCCCCCTCATAACCATCCCAACACAGGAAGGGGCCATCTGGGTGCTTCTCAGGTATAGTCTCCACTCTGGGTCCTTGGCAGGTTCTTGACCACTACTATGAGGGTTCAAGCAGCCATCCTAACCCCGCAATCAAAAACCCTACCTGCCCCAAGAAACATCCTGGTGTCTCAGCCACTCCAGGTTCAGTGGACCCAGAGCTATCTCCTGCACAGATCTCCTCTTGGATTATGGCAAATCCTCCAAAAACCCCTGCCCTTCAAAGCTGAAGTGAAATCTTACCAAGAAAGGGCCACTGGGGCAGAGTCCCAGCTCACTCTGTGACTTGGGAAAGTTGTCATCCCTTTGCAAACTTCAATTTTCTCACCTCTATGACGGGGATAACTCTAATCCCGAAGAGCAGTGAGGGATTGTGTTGTCAGAAGGCCTTAAGGTCCAACTGAGACCAGAACCTGTCACAGAGAAGTCTGTGACTTCTTGCTGCCAACCACAAGTGCATGTGGAGCTGGGGTTGAGGCAGCCCCTTTCCCTATTTGCCCTACCCAGAGGAAGAAAGGAAGGAGCAGCCCTTACCCCCATTCTAGCTGGGCTCAACAGGGTAAGTTGGCTGGCCCGTGACACCAGGAGTCCAAGCCCACAGCAGGGAGGAAAGAGGTCCCATTTCACAGCAAGGGCACTGAGGCCCCAAGATCTGAAGTGCAGCTGGGTGGGTACACAGCTAGGCTTGGCCCCTGAAGCCCCCAGGAAGGAAGGGCGGGGCAGGGTAACGCAGAGCCTAGGGAGGTGGGGGAAGGGAGCACAGGAAGGGATTTCCTAGCCCTCCCCCCAACATCTGTCTCCACTCCTCACCCCACCCTGGGTGCAAAAGCAAAACAAACAGGGCCCTGTCCGAAGGGGCTCGCATGGGACACCAAAGAAAGATACAGCAACAGAGTGTGAGGCAGAGTGAGAGTCCCAGAGACCCCCCGGAGACATACTGAGGCAGAGCCCCGCAGGACAAAAAGTGAGGCTGAGACGAAGGGGCAGAGGCGCAGTGGGGCGGAGGGGAGACACCGGGGCAAAGGCAGAGACACCCCTCCCGGGATGCCGCCAAGACCTAAGAGAGGGAGGGAGGCAGAGAGAGGCAGGGGCCCTGGGAACTGCAGAGACGCGCAGAGACTGGGAGACCCAGAGACCCAGTGAGTGCGAGACCTGCACAGATCGGGCCGGCGCGGCCCACAGACTCCCGGAGAGGCAGACGCGGAAAGTCAGCGAGA